ATATATATATATATATATATATTGCTTTTTTAAAAATAATATTTTACTTTTTGAAAATGAGATTGGATGGATCTCAGTCATTCAATAGTTTAAGTAAACGAGCACAACATCGCAAACAATACACCTATCCCAGAAATAGACACATTACTTGGTAGTATCGATTAAATATCTCCTCTTCCCAATCTGTTTAAATTATCCATATCAATCTATGACAGAACCAGACATCCTTGTACGGTGATGTCTTTGGAGTCTTCTTGAAGACACACAAATTCCCTAACAAGCTTTGTTAAAGCATCGACACTAGCATTATCTCCCCAATAAATTCATTATAATATCAGATTGGGATTTTGCTCCAATAGCTTCATTGCATACTAGCAATATTCTTTGCTCTTGATATTGATATTGATCTTATGATGGGTGCATGATAGTTCTTTATCTCTTTTTAAGTATAATTTTCAGGATTTAGCAGCCTTGGGAAATAAATTAATGCTTAATGTTAAGCATCACCATCTTCTTTCCAATCTCCTTCACACATTGCAAGAACTCTAAAATTTGATTTACCTTTAGAAGATAATTAGTTAGGGCATAACTTGAATGGGTATTGTGATCTCACTTAATTCAAATTATGTTCAAATAAAAGTATAATAGTACTTGTAACAAAAGTTCTAACAATCTTCGAAATGTTGCTTCAACACTTAGCTTTTGCGTCGGCGTTCCATTAAAATGACCTACTTCACTTGAATTAAATGATACACAGCTAAAAAAAAAAATACCATGTGAAATTATGCTAAAGCAACGAAGGGGGGAGCAACATTCTTCACAGATAATGAGGATACAAGCATCAAAATATATTTTTATTTGATTTAAATTTTAGAGCATATTTATTAATTAAAATAAATAAGAGATAGATTTGACTACTTATAATTATTATATGGCATAATTATAAAATTTTCATTGTATAATATAGTTGAGAAACTTGCACCTCAAAGTGTCAAAAATGGGAGAAATATTTTTGTACGTCTAACGTAGGCAGAGCTGCGTACGTCGGCCGGTTACATGGAGAGTGTTGAAGAGTTATATCCGCGTTATATCCCCTATAACCTCTCTTTAACCTATCTGTAACTTACAAATATATGAAAATAGAAACACAGAACTTATTAGTTATATGTATATTACATGGATGTTATAGGAGATATAATACGGATATAACCCCAATACGAAAAATTATTTAAAAATCTTGATACAATCTACCATTACAGAAAATTATTTTCTTTTTTTTTAAGTCTCACGTTTTTGTGCTGTCGGGGAGTAACATTTTTAAGTTGTGCCCGAAAGCAGCATTTGGAGGATTACCACTTCAATTAGGCCTGAAGAGCTTCCACGTGCGCGCAAAGATTGCTGCATTGAAAAACAATTTTCGCTTGTCGGTAGTCCCATACGCCTGAGACTCCCAGCTCTTACCGTCATAACTGCCATTAAAAGCGGATTTTGGATCTCTCCGTCCTCCTAGTTCGGTAGTTCCATCTGTTCGGTGACACTTCTCGGTCCTAGGTATCTTTTCAGTTCTAATTTTATAGTTTTATCTGCTTCTAGATCGTTGCATTGCAGCGTTGTGACTGTTATAAACCTAATGTTTTATGGGAATTTATTGGGTTTCATTGGGTAGCATTAGGTTTTGGTTGACGCAACGGATCTTGTGCTCCGAGAACGGCTTTGTTCGAGGAGATGGAATATATGCTGAATCAATGGATTAATGGGCTTAGATCAGTCTTAGAATAGAAGATAATATATTTATGTTGCACTGATTTATAAATTTAGTCCGTTTAGTCTCCACTTCATTGTTGTAGAACCAGACAGGTTGGTAGATGAAGGGGCTATTTGGCTCAGATAGGCTTTAATAAAATTGTAAATGTAGATTTACTTCCCAAGGCTACTAAATCCTGAAAATTATTTGGCATTTTATGTTCACTTATATCCTTGCAAACTGCTTGTTTATTTATTTCAGGATTTAAGGTGGCTAAAGCAGGATTTTGTGTTGACCATCAAAAAAAAATTCCAAAACCTCAACTGCTCTTGCCAGTTGAAGGATGCTCTGTCTAATAACCATTCCCACTCCTCTCAAATTAAAACAGATGAAACCCCGCCCCTTCATTCCATCTAATCGAAACTTCACAAAACGGTCTCAGAAGACTCGGCGGTGACCTTTCCAATTGTGGCCGAAACCCTTGCGATACATTCTTGACTCAAGGTAATGAGGAAAGCAACAACCAGATTGCTGCATACAAAATCTTCCAAAAATCCCCACTTCTTCTGTCTCATTTGCACAAGCAGCCACAATCCTTCATCTTTCTCGCTTTCTCTGGTTTGCTAGTCTCGCTACAATAGCCGCACAAAAGCAAATGAGCCAAGCAGCCTCCCTTCCCTGTTCTGATCGCGATCTTCACGATACAGTCACGAGTTAAGCCAACCGACAACAGGGTTTCTAAAAATTTAAAATTTTGAGCTCTTAAAACATAGACTCATGGGGCTTAAAAAATTTTAAATTTGGATTTTAAAATTTGAACTCATAAGACTTGGAAAATATTTTTAAATCAAACTTTTTTAGACTTGGGCTCTTAGGGTTTGGAAATCAATTCAAAATTAATTTTTTCAAACTTAGGCTCGTAGGGACGAAAAATAATTAAAATATTAAACTTTCTTAAAATTTGAAATTAATTGCTACCGCCACCAGATTCACGATATAATTTGATAATGAATAGAAGATGATCCTTTTTAAGCTCTAAATGAAGTTATATGAGAACATAATCTCTAGGAATGTCTGAAAATTCAAATAATTTCAATACCTACAAATTTCAATAACATTTTCCAAGTCAAATTCCATACTTAGAGATCCATGAGGGTATTTTAAAATTGGTATGAGTTAAAGTTTGTATATTCTCAAGTAATATAAATCTATAATATCTATATAAATGAGTCACTTATGAATGATTTCAAATTGCTACGTAGACTCCTTTTTGAAAGAAACTTCATCTCAATTTTATATTTTAAAATATCATCAAAATTACTCAACTTTGAAAGTGTGCAAACATAAAAAGTTGAAAACCCGCATGTGTTTCAACCATTATATTAAATGTCGAATACTAGGTTCGAAAATGTTGCGCAGGCTGACCGGGGCGCCTTATCTATAAGATATGGTTGTAAGTCCCACCCAACTAGTCTGATCATAATTGCAATGACTGGAGTTGACGAGTCTAGTAATTTTTAAATTAATATTTAAATCTTAAAATAAGTACAAGTCACCTAGTTCGATTCTTCTTCTTGTAAAGACATGAGTCTACAAGACTTATACCCTAAAAGGTCTAAGTTAACGAAATTAATTGCCCTTGCAAATACAAATGTTCTAAATTCTTAAATTTCCGATGATTGCCGAGTTGATAGAAAATTTCAATAGGTGTCAACTTTTAAATCAATTTCCTAATCAAATTCTCAAAATAATAAACCAAGGCATTCAATCTAAAATAAATCATTTAAAGTCTTAAATCAAATCTTTAAATTAAAATTCAATTACTTAAAAGCTAAAAGCTTAATCCATCCAACCTCCACAACAGTTTGTCGAGGGTGCAAATTTCTAACTGACTTTAGCTCATGAAGAGCTAATATTATACTAAGTTTATCTCTATATTCACAATCAAAATAATTTTTTGCCAGTAAGGATGTGACCTAAGTTCTCTGTTTGCGTGGTTTTGCCTCTAATTGACATCAGAAAGTAGCGGTTATGTTCAGAGTCCTCTGACAGGCTCTGACCGGCTCTGATCGGGTGGTTGCTGTAAAAGGACACTATTATATTACGATCAACCGCAACCCGTATGTTCCCTAATGGCTTTCTATGTAATGTCTTGTTTCTGTAATCAAGGGAGATGAAATGAGAAAATTGAAGAAGTTAAAGCAAGGAGTCTAGCAAATGGGAGACGAATCGAGATGTTTGGATAGCCGAAGATGTTGGAGTTGAATCAAACAGCCGAGAAGTTGAAACGCGGGGATCAGAAGCCTATGCGATGAGTTCACCTATAAAACGATGCGACATAGGAGAGAATTAATTATCAGGAGATCGGAGAGTGCGAGAGACGAGCACAAGCTAGGGTTTCTCTGTAGCAGGAGGGGGGTCGGTGTTGAGTAGAGAAGAAGGATTTGACGTGGTAATGAGCCGCATCGAAGGAGTTTTGACGAGCTTGGATAGATCCGGTGCCAAGGAGAAGCAAGGAAGGTTGGAGCGGAACCCGAAGGAGGCGTCGAGCTGCTAGTGTACAAGAGCTCGTGCGTTTGATCTGAATCGTGCGTGTAGAGGAACTCTTCGAGCCGAAGGAGAATGAAGGGAAGAAGAAATTGGGTGGGACTAGCCGAGCTGAGGGGAGACCGAAGGTAAGGCAAGGGTTTTAGGTGATAAATTTATAAATTTAATGTATTATTTTTTATTAATTATTAATAATAAGGTTTGAATAAATCTGGTTTTAAGAAGTTTTATAGTAAAAACGTTTAGAGTTTGATTTTATTTAAGCTTTAATTGTTTATTTAATAATAATTTATTACGTAATATAAATTTAAATGTATGTATGTTTATAAGACTAATAGAAAAGATACAAATTACATAAAGTAACTAGAAAGTTAAATTAGGAAAACCAACATTATTATCAATAATTTATTAAGCTTAAATTTTTTAGAAGAAATAATCAAATGAAGATAGCAATTAGGATTATTATAATAAAATAATTAAAATAATATGATACATCAAATGGTCAAATAAAGTCTAATTATCTTCTTATAATAAAATTAATATATTATAAATTAATAATAATTCTTTGTGCATTTGACTTTAGGTTTCTCATTTAAGATAAGTGAAGATAATGTGTAGAATCGTCAGTGTTCGAGGTAAGTACTCATGTTTTTATATTATGATAAAAATTCCTGGTTTCCTCTGGATCAAATACATTTACCAGTACTGTTGTTAGTTTTATTGATATTGCCGCACTCAAGATTTTGATTTTTAGTGAAGTCTTACTCATATTGTTGGAATAATATGTCTCCACAATATTATTTAAATTATCATAAATATTAAATAATTAATAAATATATTGACTGCTATGCAAATGAGAAATGAATGTTTTTTATTAGAAAGTGATATTTTTTGTATGATACTTGTATGTGTATGATTAAGGCTGTCAAAACGGCTTGTTGTTCGCGAACAGCTCGTGTTCGGCTTGTTAAGAAGCTCGTGTTCGGCTCGTTCGCTAAGTTAACGAGCCGAACACGAACAAAGAATTTTAAAAATGGCTCGTTCGTGTTCAACTCGTTTTGGCTCGAAATACTACTCATCAATATATATATTATATATACAAGTAGCATTTTGAAAAAAATTAATTGCCTACAAGGCTACAAAGATTTATAAACATTTAAGAGTATTAATTAAGGAGATAAAATAAAAAATATTAATTAGATTCAAATGATGTTTTAGTATAAACAATAAATTATGAATCTTGTCCCAACACTTAACATGTTATGGCTATGTGATCAGGATTATCAAAACGACTATTTGTTCGTGAACAATTCGTGTTCGACTCGTTTCAGCTTGTTAAGCAAATTAGTCGAACACGAACACACCTTTTGAGCTCGAAATATAAACGAGGCGCACACGGGCGGGACCCGCTCGTGTTCGGCTCTTTTACACCCCTATGTATGATTGACTATGATGGAGCCAACCCTTGATGGTACTAGTAGAGTAACATTAAGGTACCCGTGCACCTAAATGATAAAGAATTTTGATATTGAGTATCTTAAGTGATACAATTTTTAGACGGTGCTTCTGTGACGGTCAAAATAATATTTATATAATATTAATATAATAAGATTCATTGAATAATATCTCAAAAGTCTATATTGATTTAATAAAATCTTAACTGACATGCATTTTATTTTTTTTACTCTTATATTATTGTAGTTTAGGAGTGTGAGTATTTATTAGCTTTAATTAACTTACCTTTGTTTTAACTTAATTATTCAAGTATAGTTAATTGATTTAAGAGATAAGCCAAAGAAGTAAAATGTTTGTAGAAGACACAGACAAGTAACAAGGTAAATTTAAATTTACAGCTTTAATTTAAGTTGATTTGTGGCTCTTTCATCTATTATATTGTAGATGAATATAGAAATTTTAATTCACATCGTTCGATCGTCTGTTCCCGTCTTGTTTAATTTTAAACCTCAGACTTGGTCATAAAATGCTATCCTTTGAGCTGTGAATCATAAGGGTACAATTGATTGATGCAAAGCCTTATGTCAGCTAAGGTTGATTTAAATTTGTCCACTTAGACAAACAGCAACCTCAGTTCTGCAAAGGCACTTGAACGACGCAATCCATGGCAGCTGACAATGATCTTTAAGTTAGGTTTGGTCTTCTAAGTAGACCAAAGATCACGACGAACTTGCTGACGGAACCATGAGATCTTGATTGGGTTTCGTCTTCATTTCCCCATCTTCCGCTTTAAGCTTCATGTGATAGATTTAACAATTTAAAATTCCTAAGTCTGCTATTATTATATATTGAATATTCAGTTCCTAATGACTAGCTTTAATTGAAAGTTACTCCCATTATCGGGATGGGTAGTTAACCACAGGGTTTGCGCCTGTGAGAAACCTCGAACCCCTAATAAAAAATTCCTCACTAAATGAGGGTTAAATCTCTGGGTAATATCTCATCTATAATCCAATCTGCATTCTAAAATTTTGAACCTCCAAAGCTCTCTCTCAATAAACAAAATAAAATGAATGCAGAGTCTAGCGGTCATAATTTTTGGAGCCCACATTTTGTTAAGGATTTATTATAGCAAAATGAGAACATGCGAAACAAGTAACGATAACCAAGAATAAATTGCATAGTAGGTTAACATAAAAGAATATGATAAAGTTAAATATCATTATTTGTCCTATGCCTCATAAATGTGCGATAATTGACTAAGTGAAGCAAGGGCTTGGACTCATTACGTGTGATTTAAAAAATAAGTTTATAAAGAGCAGATTAAAATAAAATTAATTTTTTTTAACAAAGTTAAAATCTTATACGTGCATCTTTTTCTTGAATTTCCTCTCAATTCTTGCATCCATTTAAGAATCTTTATCATCAAATTCTATCCTACCTAAATCATTATCATGTTGCATCTCTATTTGTGATATGCTAAAATATAAATAATGCCAAATGATAGAGATCAAAAAATTTGTGAAACACTTTACAAGCAAGCATGATATAGCTTGAACAATTAGAGGAAAGTGCCACATGTGAGTTGGCACTTAAAATCTCTTTTCCAAATACCTAACATTTTCTCTACTATCTTATAGTTAGTTGTAATGATGGTTATATTACTCCCGCTCGACTAAGGGTGTGTTTGGGGCAGCGGTGCGGCGACGATTCGACGCCACACGACATGACATTTGAAAAAATTACATTTTGCCGCCTTTTTCATAAAGCTGCAATGGGATGCTGTGTTTTGCAACTTAAACTGGCTATGTGCGGCAACTATCAGAAAGTTGTGGTCCTATTTTTTGAAAAATAAAATTTAATAGACACCACAACATTTTGAACAACAATTTCTTCTGCGACAACTTCACATCCGCTTCTTAAAACAACTACAATGACCCTCAAACAATTTTGATATACTTTGTTGGGTCCCATATGCTTATTGGTGATAGCATAGCCTAAGTCAACCAAATAATATTTTTATTGTGGCACACTTACAATTCCTCTTGCATTGACTATTTTAGCGCTTTCACATCTTTTGCAAACTCCTCTAACTTGAAGTATATGTCACTCCTGAGAGGAAGGTGAATTCATGTATGATTTTAAAGAAAGTTGAAATCTAATGGTCGAAAATGCTTATTTTTTATTATTAAAAATCAGTATACAATAAAATATTTATATTTTCTAAAAAATATCAAGGCTAAAATTGTAACTTGCAAAAGCAATTATTTATTAATGGTTTAATATTTTGTCTTTTTCAACTAGATATCACCAGATATATTACAAGAATCAAATGAAATTGAAATAAACATTAAAATATTCTTTTGCTGGCACAAACTTATGTGATTAGCACCAAGTGATGAAGATAATTTGACAATTGAATGAAACTCCATCAATTACATTCTAAGATCTGAATAATTTTCTATTACAATATATATTTTGTTATTTTATATTAATCATTTTGGTGCGCTATCTATGGCTCCAATATTATTTTTGAAAAAAGGGTTGAAATCTTGAGTTGATTTGCATTTGTGAATGACAATCAACTTTAGTTAGAGACCAATTGATAAGTTCTTTCATTAATGACAAATTGGTTATAATACATGATTACAATATTGTCTTACTATTTCTAAGGAATAATGAGAAATATTAATGCAATTATCTTTATATATGGGCATTTGCAAGCCCCTCAAGAAATACCCCTAGTTGCTTAACTTTGACTATACTCTTGATGTTGCTAGTGAGATCATTATTAACTATTATATCCGTTGCTTGAAATTTTAGTGAGATAACAATCGATGACCAGCTAATACATCTATGTATTGATAACAAGTGTACAATATATTGAAAATCAATATATGAATGTATACATCTTTATTTGACAAGTTATTATCATTTATTATAAAAGGAATTATTTCATTGATTACATAATTAACTTATTTAAATGCTTCATCATGTCATACAGTACCAACTAATGTTCCTTTTAATATCATTTTGCAATTTAATAATTAGTTTGAATGTTTTTTATACTAATTATGACCTTGATTCTAATTAGAAAATAACCATAATCAATATTTATAAAATTTAGAAATGTTTCACTTTATTTTGGATTATCTTGAATCTAAGCTTTTCTTTGTTTTTAATATTATTAGATATACATGGAAGTCATTTTCACATTTTTCAAATTTTATTTTAATTTTTTAATAAATGTCTTGAATTCTAGTTGTTATTAAAATAATGTTATCTTAACATCCTAATTAACATTTTAATAGAACTCAAATTGAATTGAGAAAAAACATATAAGTTAAGGATGCCCTAATGATGAATCCATATAAATTTGAAGCCAGTCCCCATTAGATATTTATCAGTTTATCTGAATCCTTTTAAATTAGATTTTAATTTTTAATAAGCTAGTTTTGATCTTGATAATATGTTTTTTTATGTTTATAATATTTAAAGTGTTGAAAGATCTCGTTAATATTTGTGATTGTGTACCATATTTGTTATACTCTATATTTAGAAGTGTATGAATTGTATGAGTAATCTTAGGATTCTCTATTTATTTTCTTCTATATTAGGGTGGTTAGTTGAATAGTATATTTATCCTTAATTAGGGAGATTAATTGTCTTTTTTGTTCCTAGTTAAGCTTTATAAATAGCTGTACATCAATATAGAATAATCATTCAGCCTTCTTATATTTTTTGTTCACTGTTTTTATGGTATCAAAGCAAAAAATCCTAGGTTTGAATCTTCTTTCTTTTCATCTCTAAAATGTTTGAAGCCATGCCTAGGACAAGCCAGCCTCTTCAACCATCTCAGTAGGAACCTCAGAGAAATACATCCGAAAACCATCCCATTCAGATTACTATAATCCGACTAAATGGTGATAATTTTATTCGATGGTCACAATCTGTTCGCATGTATCTCGAGGAAGAGGAAAAATTGGCTATATCACAGGTGATACTAAGTAGCCTGACGTGAATGACAAAACTTATGCCATTTGGGATGCGAAAAACTCAATGGTAATGACATGGTTGGTCAATTTCATAACTGAAGAGATAAGTACAAATTACTTGTGTAACTCTATAACCAAGGAATTATTGGACAATGTTTCAGAAATGTACTTTGACCTTGGAAATCAATCCCAAATTTACGAGTTGACTTCACGATTCGGTGAAATTTGCCAAGGTGAGGACTCTGTGACAAAATATTTCAATTCTCTTAAGCAGATTTGGCAGGACCTGAACTTATTCAATGATTATGAGTGGAAATCAAATGATGACTGCAACCAGTACAAGAAGATAGTAGATATTGGCCGAATCTTCAAATTTCTTGCAGGTTTAAATGTTGAATATGATGAGGTCCATGACCGAATAATTGTAAGAAGTCCCCTGCCTCCAATTGGGGAAGCTTTTGTGGAGGTAAGGCGAGAAGAGAGTCGGAGCCATGTGATGTTGGTGAAGAAGGCTGCAGGTTCAATCATGTCTTTGGAAGGATCAACACGGGCCATTCCTGAAGCTCAAGCAAGCAGTAAAATTTCTCACAACCAGCGTGTAGAAGACAAAAACAACCTGCAATGTGACTATTAGGGAAAACCACGCCATACTTGCGAAAAATGTTGGAAGTTGCATGGTAAACTACCTAATGGTAAGGGAAAAAAAATCTGGTGAACATAGCACACCTACAACAAATGAGGCCGAGTCATCTCCATTTAGTAAAGAGCAATTAAGTTAGCTTCTTAAGCTACTGAAATCTTGCTCATCATCTAATACTCCTATCGGTTCTATAGCACAAACAGATAGTAATTCCTTGGATCTCCATTTAGCAAAGAGCAATTAAGTTAGCTTCTTAAACTGTTGAAATCTTGCTCATCATCTAATCCTTCTATCGGTTCTATAGCACAAACAAGTAGTAATTCCTTTGATTTATCTATTCTAGGAAGTACCACTCATTGGATCATAGATTTAGGAGCCTGTGATCATATGACAAGCTGTTCTAAATTATTTGATTCATATTATCCATGTTGCGGTTCTGAAAAAGTCAGACTAGCTGATGACAGCTTTTTACCTTTTGCAGGAAAATGAAACATTAAAATTTCAGAAAAAATTTCTTTGAAATCAGTTTTACATGTTCCAAAACTTACATGTAATATTCTTTCCGTTAGTAAATTGTCTAAAGACTGATTATTCCATTCTTTTTTCTCTTTCCAATTGTGTTTTTCAGAACTAAAACTCGGGGAAGATGATTGAAACTATTAGAGAAATAAATGGGCTGTACTAATATGATGGAACTGATTCTGCAAATAAAACAACTTCTGAATTAGGTAAAACAAGTTCAAGCTTTAACTATGATCAAGTTATGTTATGACATAAAAGATTGATAGCTTTTCATATCTCAAATCTTTATTTCCTGAACTATTTAAAAGTATTGATTGTTCAAAACTTCATTGTGAAGCTTGTAGTTTAGCTAAAAGTCAACGTGTTTCGTTTCTAATAAAACCATATTCTGCTTCAAAACCATTTTATTTGTTGCATATTGATGTTTGGGGCCCATCCAAAGTTAATACACTTTCTGGAAATAAATGGTTGTAACATTTATTGACGAACACACACGAGTTTGCTTGGCTTATTTATTGGAAAAAAAAAATTGAAGTTGAACAACGATTTAAAGATTTTTTTCACATGTTTGAAAATCAATTTCAAACAAAAATTGATATTCTATGAACTGATAATGAGATTGAATATTTTAACAAATATTTGAGAATATTTATTTTGGAAAAATGTATTTTGCATCAATTCACTTGTCGTGACACACCACAACAAAATGTTATTGCTGAAAGGAAAAATAGACATTTACTTAAAATTGCTCGGATACTTATGTTTTCCATGAATGTTTCTAAATAGTTTTGCGGGAATGCGATCCTTACCTCTTGTTATTTAGTAAACAGAATGCCATCTCGAGTTTTGAAATTTAAAACACTTTTACAAGTCTTAAAAAATTATTTTTCAACATTTAAGATAACAACTAATCTCTCGTTAAAAGTTTTTGGATGTGTTTGCTATGTGCATGTCCCAAATGTGTTTTACTCAAAACTTGATCCCAAAGCTAAAAAATGAGTTTTTATTGATTATGCTTCTAATAAACGTGGGTACAAGTGTTTTAATCCAGTCACAAAGAAATTTTTAAGAGCATGGATGTCAAGTTAGGATCACCATTTTTTTCAAAAAAAAATTCTTCAGGGGAAGAACTTAGTTGAAGAAAATAATTTTTGGGAAACCTTACCCATTTCCTTAACTAATTCTGATATGGAAACTAGGGTCATCATTATTAATCCTTTTTTGCCAGTGCTACTTTATCAGAGACAGGGGGAGAAATATTTCCAACAGGTCATAATCTAGTGGATCATAATCCTCAACATGAGCTACAGGTTTATACTAGGAAAAAATTCTATGAAGTTACTACAACTCCAGTTATTCCTTCAGCAGATGTTTAATCAGCTTTGCCGAATAATGGTTCTACAACTCAGAGTAACTTTCCCTCTACTTCCACTCCTTCTGATCTTGATCTTCCAATTGCTTTAAGAAAAGGAATCCGAACAGACATTAAACATCCTATCACACAATACTTGTCATATGAAAAACTATCAAAAAATCATAGAGCATGTGTCCAGGATTTTTAATATGCTTGTTCCAAGAACTGCTCAGGAAGCATTAGGGGACCCAAGTTGGAGAATAGTTGTGATGGAAGAAATAAATGCTCTTAAAAGAAATAATACTTGGATAATCATTGATTTACCTAAAGACAAAAAGACGGTTGGATGCAAATGGGTGTTCGTGGTGAAGTTTAAAGCTGATGAAAGTGTGGAGAGATACAAAGCGAGACTAGTAGCAAAAGGATTTACTCAAACTTCTGGTATTGATTACCAAGAAACTTTTGTTCCTGATGCTAAAATTAACTCTATTAGGGTACTACTTTCTCTTGCAGTTAACTTCAACTGACTACTTCATTAATTTGATGTAAAGAATGCGTTTTTAAATGAAGAATTGCAAGAAGAAGTATATATGGACCTGCCACCCGGATTTGAAGAAAAATTTGAAAAATGCGAAGTGTGCAAATTAAAAAAGTCTCTGTATGGATTAAAGTAGTTTCCTAGAGCTTGGTTTAAGCGTTTTGGTGATGTTATCAAGAGACATGGATTCTCTCAATCCAAGCTGATCGCACCCTTTTTTTTAAACATTCAATCAAAGGTAAAGTGGCCATTGTGATTGTATATGTAGATGACATAATCATGACAGAGGTTGATTCTCTTGAGATTAGCAATTTTAAGAGGAAACTTGAAGTCGAATTTGATATTAAGGAATTGGGAAAGATGAAAAATTTTCTCGGGATGGAGTTTGCAACATCCAAGGATGGGATTTTTGTCAATCAAAGCAATTATGTGCTTGACTTACTCAAAGAAACAGGGTTGACAGGTTGCAAAGCAGCAGATACACCAATTGAACCTAATGTAAAGTTGAAAACAGCGGCAACTAATGAGGTAATGGACAAAGCACACTATCAAAGATTGGTAGGGCGACTAATCTATTTGGTTCACACTCGACTTGTCATAGCTTTTGCAGTGAGTGTTGTGAGTCAATTCATGCATTCACCTGAACCTACTCACTTTGAAGCTGTATTCAGAATTTTGAGATACCTCAAAAGAACTCCTGGAAAAGCAATTTTGTTCAAAAAAGGAGAACATCTTATGATAGAGGCCTACACAGATGCAGATTGGGCAGTAGATGTAAATGATAGAAGATTCACCTCAAGTTATTGTACCTTCGTAGACGAAAATCTGGTTACTTGAAAAATTAAAAAAACAAAGTGTGGTGGCAAGGAGTAGTGCTGAAGCAGAATTTCGCTCGTTAGCACATGGATTCTGTGAAGTGTTATGGATAAAAAGACTTCTGGAAGAGTTGAAGATTCATATACCAGCAGCTATTAAAGTTTACTGTGACAACAAGACTGTAATCTTTATAGCTCATAATCCAGTTCTACATGATAGAACAAAACATGTAGAAGTTGACAAACATTTCATCAAGGAGAAGATAGATAGTGGTGTGATATTTATGTCCTACATACCCACTGCTAGCCAAACAACAGATATACTAATAAAAGGTCTTCCCAAAGTGCAACATGAGAATCTAGTTAGAAAGCTTGCCATGAGTGACATCTTCATGCTACCTTGAGGGGGAGTGTTGAAAGATCTCGTCAATAATTGTGATTGTGTACCATATTTATTATACTCTATATTTAGAAGTGTATGAACTGTATGAGTAATCTTAGGAATCTCTATTTGTTTTCTTCTATAGTAGTTGAATAGTATATTTCTCCTTAATTAGAGAGATAAGCTATTTTTTTTGTTCCTAGTTAAGCTCTTTAAATAGCTGTACATCAGTATAGAATAATCATTCAGCCTTCTTATATTTTTTGTTCACTTTTTTTATAAAGAAATAATTAGATTCAAATATTTAGATAATTATGAAATTGTATTTGTTTTCTAAATATCTTGATTTTAATTTTTTCTCAATTATTAATGTTAATATACATATCAATGATAGTTGTTTTCACACATTTTAGGTTCAATTTGAATTTTTAGTAAATATTTTGAGTTTTTGGTTTAGTTAAAATAGATTTGTCTCAACAACTTAATTAACATTCTAATTGAGCTCAAATTAACTAAAAAAAATAGCAAATGTTAAGAGAGACCTCAAAGATTATTCCATATAATGTGCTCCCAGGAGGTATTTATTAAATTTTTCTATATTTATTAGAAATTACATTAGTAATATAGTAATTAATAATTAATAAAATATTATTTATGCTAATTATAATCGAAGGCAATGATTTTCATTATTAATAGTTATTATTAAAATCCTATTTTAGCTAACAAAATTAAATTTTTAAAAAAGTAGTTAAAGAATTCTTGAGAATTTAAGTTAATTTAATCTCTATCATGCCAAACTGTTTTAAGGATTTAATTTTCTAAAAGTTTACTAAATTTATTTTTGCATGATTTACTAAATTCTACTTGAAGCCAAACAACACCTTAATGATCAAAACTGTTGATTTTGATGGATGCCAGTATTAATATAAAAATAACCTCTTAAATTATTTGCACTAAAAATGGTTATTAGGCAGCATTAAAAAAACACTTCTCAAGATTTATGCATCGCAAGCCATTTATTAGGCAGCCCAAAATAAAGAGTCGCCCTAATGCTTTCATGGCATATTGAGAATGACTTGCACCATATGGGATCAGAAGCAATGAATACCATCGGTTATTGCTCTTTTTCCTGCTTGGTTTTAACTATGAGAATATGTAAGTGGTAATCCTTGAAAATGTGTTTTGACAGTTTCTTGACATCATTTCCTTGCTTCAATGTTGTTATTTGCTTGCCTTCTGATGTTTGTGAGATTGATCTTTCCGCAACAACTCTTGCCTCATAGAATTCAGTGTTTCTTCAAGAGGATTTTGTTTGTATAAAGTATAAACTATATTTTTCAGCTGTTCTTTTATTAAATTATCACCTAATGATTTTCATATGATTCCAAGGTGAAAACACATTTACATACCATTCTGTTTCTATTTACTTTTATATGTCTAAGATCATAATGAAATGTATTTGTTGTTTCTTTGCCTCTTAACATGAAATGCACTGTACTTCTTAGCTATGGCGTCATCTGACAATCCAGAAGTTGTTGAGAGAGTGGTTAAGGAGGAGAAGAAGAACAAGGATGAAGAGAATAATGATGAGAAGGGTGGCTTCCTTGATAAGGTTAAAGATTTCATTCAGGACATTGGTGAGAAGATTGAAGGGGCAATAGGGTTTGGAAAGCCAACAGCAGATGTGGTTAGGGTTCACATTCCTTCCATCAATTTGCATAAGATAGAAATTGTAGTGGATGTGCTAATTTCAAACCCAAATCCTATTCCCATTCCGCTAATAGACATTGACTACTTAATAGAAAGTGATGGGAGGAAGCTTGTGTCTGGATTGATTCCTGATGCAGGAACTATCCATGCGCATGGCTCAGAGACTGTGAAAATACCAGTGGTATTGATCTATGACGATATCAAAAGTACTTATGATGATATCAAGCCTGGAAGTATCATTCCGTATCTGATCAAGGTTGGTCTTATTGTAGATGTACCCATCTTTGGAAGACTTACTCTTCCTCTGGAAAAGAAAGGCGAGATTCCTGTGCCTTACAAGCCTGATGTTGATGTCGAGAAGATACACTTTGAGAAATTCTCCTTTGAAGAAACTATTGCAACTCTACACTTGAAATTAGAGAACAAGAATGACTTTGAGCTGGCACTAAATAAGCTTGACTACGAAATTTTGCTATCTGATGTGAGCATCGGAAGTGCCGAGCTTACTGACTCCACAAAAGTTGATAAAAATGGAATTAGTAAGATGAAGATTCCAATAAATTTCAGGCCAAAGGATTTTGGATCTGCCCTATGGGACATGATAAGGGGAAGAGGTACAACTTATTCAATAAAAGGGAATATTGATGTAGATACTCCTTTTGGATCAATGAAGTTACCCATTAGTAAGGAGGGTGGAAGGACTCGCCTCAAAAAAGGAGATGATGATGATGATGATGATGATGAGGTATGGTGATTCTATTCTTCACAATCTTGATTATTACATTTATTTCACTTTTTTATTCAATCTGAATTTCTATATTAGAAAATGAATTTTTTATTTATGCAGTACAGAGTCTTGATGCAGGCCTACGTACTATAGTTATCACTTGTTCATTCTATTTTAGGAAGGCACACTTGATGCGTATATCTTATGATTCTATTGCAGTCCTATTTGGCTTTAGTTATCACTTGTTCATTCTATTTTAGGAAGGCGCACTTGATGCGTATATCTTATGATTCTATTGCAGTCCTATTTGGCTTTATATTTATGATTCGTACACAATATTGACATTTTCTTCATTTTTATTGGTTGAAATTAACTTGAAATTCTACCTACTACATTAGTATTAGGAAAAAAATTAAAAAAAAATAGAATCATTTCTATGCTTAACTTGCAAATAAAGTTTTCTTCTAATCTTTTAACTTAAAATTATCATTTTTTAAAGGGAATTTAGCATTAAAAAGGTGATTGTGTTATGATACGAAACTATAGCTTTCCTTTAGATATCACTCATTTGTAGTAGCTTTAGTGGCTCCCACTGTTTTCTATGGCCACTATGGTTATTATTTTGTGGTTTCTTTATTCGCTTATTTAGCTACTAATGTGATGGTTTGGATCTTATGCTAGATATCTTATTTTTTTTAACATATATATATATATATATTGAAAAAAGGCATATTTATATATATGGGAATTTAGTGAGTGTGGACATTAAGCCCACACACAAGGTATATAACTCACTCAAAAAAGAATTTAAAATGTACGAGTATTTTATAGAACCTGGTAGCGTACTTTTGCAAATCTCTAGGGTTTGAATCCGCCTTACTCTCTTTAATACAATGATTTCACTGTTTGTCTCTATGGCAAGTTAGCAGTGGCTGCTGTTAGTTCAATCTTTGTGGTCTATAGTTTTTGTGGTTTGGCTCTTTGGTGTTGACTTTCTCGGTTGATTTTTCCCTTTTAATTTTTTATTTGGTGCATGAGGCTTATTTGTTGTTGTATCTTGGGCATGTAGAATTAGTCTATAGTGAATAAGAAAATTCTTTGGATGTGTGAATTCCTATTTTTTTCTTGGAATGCTTTTTTGTTTGCTTATTTTCCCTTCTTCCCACTTGGTCAATTTTTTATTATTGGTTATTGTTTAACTTAGCTTTATCAAAGTTGTTGCATTTTTGTTTTATTTCTCCTCTATAAATTTCAAGTAACTATGAGACTTGTGATTCATACTTTCTTATATTATTTCTTAGTGGAAGGCACTTTTATTTGAATTGGATATTAATTTTGGAATTAATAGTTTGTGTTTAAAGAATAATTTATGTATGTTGAAGTCCTATGTAGCATTGAAAATTACATGTTAGATTCACATTAAAAATCTTGAATCCTAAAAATTTTTACATAAGATTTACTAATACAATTTATTATTATATCATATCTTCTTGATATAGGACTTAATACTTGGGCCAATTAATTGTTTAATAAAAGCTACAATTTTATAGAATATCAATATTGCCAAATACCAGGAGCTCAAATAAATCAATATAAGAATAGATGTGTTGACCGTTTTAAAAAAAGGAAAGCAAAATAATAATAAATTAATTAAACCAATTAATTAATTACGTGCTCCAGCCTGTTGAAGCCTGCGTTAGTGTGATAACCATTCCCTCTGTCTTCGTCAGATACAAACATATATGAAGCGCCCACTGTTCCTCAACCCCCCACTCCTTAGATTGTTGAACCCTTTTCTCCCCTTCTTTCTTTTGTATTCCCCACTCTCGACTACCACACAAATTCAACTGAAGCCCCTACACCGACGTTCTCATCTCTCGTTTGAAATAGCATAGTGCTGCTTTTCATGTTTTCTTGTTCATCCCACAATTTTAGAACTGCAACTGTTCTTTTTTTCATATTCCCAACCCTTGCTTCGTCGTTTTTTTCGGTGCTTTAAAAACCTCACTGCAAAAGTTTCTTCTTCGTTCTTCCGCTCCAATTCGAGATAGAGGCTGCACTCATTTTGTTATTCTTCCACTTCAAGTCACAAGCACATCTTCTGATCGAAGCTTGTTGTCTCCCGTACCTTCGTCTTTGTTTGTCTGCTCCCACCCAATCGCTATCTTCTCTCAAGTTGCAGAAGCCCGTACTTCTGTTTCTTCCCCTATTCACCAACACAAACCCATTTCCTTTTGTTCTTCTGTCTTTTGCCTCTCCTATTCTTGGGGAATTATATATCATTTTTTAAAATAATTGCCCCGTTTGGATAGTTTTTTATAAAATTAGGGATTTGAAATACTCATCTAGGGAAATGAGAGTATTCTTTTTTTTTGAATTAAGTTATGCTCGGGGAAATGCTTGCTTGTGATTTCAACTTTTTTGCAGGTACATTGGAGGCCTATAACATCTTTTAAGACCATGGGTTAAATATTCAATTTTTGTTCCCCAGCCGTAATGTCTCATGACGTTGATCAATCAGTCTTTTAGGACAGTTGGGAAGACTGACATTCTCTCATGCCTCCTAACGGGGGTTGACCCCAAGGGGCTACTAGAATTATGGGTGATTTTGTGATGCCTCATTTCATTTGCCCCAGAGGAGTCAAAAACTGAAAAGGGTGAGAGGATACGAGGAGTCGAGTAGTCAAAGAGAGGGGAGATAAAGCGAGAGGGGTCAAGAACTTAAGGACACTTTCGTGTATAAAAATGATGCGCTAGAAGCGAGATTTAGAGTCGAACGACTCGTGTGAAGATTTGCAAGCATAAGATGTGGTTTTCACCTAGCCGACGTTGGTGTTGAGCGGAGGAGATGACGTTGGTGTCGAGCAAAGGAGGAGAAGCCACCATAAAGCCACGATTAGAGGAGCTGTTTGGGAAAGGGAGGCGATCTGTAGATCCTGCGTATATCGGAGAGGTTCGCATGTGTGAATTAAGGCTTGACAGGTTTTATAAATGGTAATCTAATAATTTATTTAATTGATTATATATATATATTGTTATTTAGAGTTTTTGGTTAGAATTTTAGATTTGGAGGGGAATAGGAGGCAAAGTATGCGAGCTAACGGAGGAAGATTGACTCGCGCAAACTTTTGTAAGGAAAAGTTCAGGTTTATAGTATAATTTAATTAATGAATTCAATTAGGATTTCATGAAGTAAAATAATGAAAATTTAATAGTTAAATAATATAAATTTAATAGTTAATTAAAATGATAATAATTAAAATTTTGTAATATGAATACCTATATTTATTATATGTAGGGGTGTAAACGAGCCGAACACGAGCGAGCCAAGCTCAGCTCGTGTTCGCCTCGTTTATATTTCGAGCTCAAAAAGTGTGTTCGTGTTCGGCTCGTCTGCTTAACGAGCCGAACACGAGCTGTTCACGAACAAAAAAACCTTTTAACAACCCCAATGATGTAG